CATGTTGGTCTAGTTTATTAGAAAATCATCTGTCAAGCTGAAACAGAGCAACATAAAAGTGAAAGGGGGATTGCTCCCCAGTGACCACCCAAATTAAAGATCAGGAATGAACTTCCAATACTTGAACAATTCCTATGTATTTTCATGCTGAACAATGTTTCACATGTACACATATAATACTTTGCTCGTACTTGGTTGTCACTTGGTTTTACTACACACAATCAGTTATCCAATGCAAGTTTATTCAGCTTTTTTGCAACTGGTTGTCATTTATCCTTGTCAGGCTTTGGCAGCATCGAGGAAAAATTATATGTATATTTCAAATAACTGCTACTATAGCCTTACCCAATTAAAAATAATAATTTGTCAGACGGTGGATGGAGCAGCTGGCAGCTCAGTTATTGTAAATATAAATTGTAGTCCAATAGACCCAGGTGATTATAGTGTAATTTTCCGATGCGGATATTTCAGAGGTGGATAAAATAAATGTGGAATTCAGCAGCTGGTTCCACCAATCTTGGAAATGGCTGACTGGGAAGATTTGATTTTAAGAACTTTTTAGGAATTAGCTACATGGCTGTTGGGATTTGCCCTGCCATGTGATGAGTAACATATTTGGGTAGACTATAGATAACACATAAAAGTCCCACGTATGTATTAATTCAAAGAGACTTGGTGTTACAAGAGCTGCCACTCATCCCATGTAAAATCTGCTGTTCACACTAAATGTTGCAGTAACGCGCATATGTTAATGTGCAGCATTCAAGTGTTAAAGCAACACTGTACCTACCTGGGCCTTGTGGCACACTGTAACACAAGTATGTTGTGATGTGCTGCCTAGGTGGATTGGATGCCATTCAAACTAAATAGCGTCACACCTGTTTCATGCGTTGCTGTGCTTTTTGGTAATGCGTGGTAAAATGCCCATCTTACCACTATTTTACCGCAACGCACTAATGTGAGCAGACTCTTAAAATGTGTGCTCCATGCCGGCAACCAACCTTTTCAATATGGCACTGCTGCAGTACAGACAGGTGTATGTTCATACTAGATAATATAGTCTGCATATTTAGAACCATATGTGATTGCAAATGCCTTAGCAACTGTGAATTGTTGGTTTGTAATCCTAGAATTCTACACAAAAATGTGAAACTCAGGTATAAATGTTATATATATGAAGTGAACAAACTTGATATTAATATATCACGCTTGGTAATGAATGTTTACGATAACCCTGTGAATTAATGAAAGGAATTTCATAAAAATGAATGAAAAGAATCCCACATAGCTAATGCTTGCTTTCTGTACTTCTACAAAATTCTTCAGTGCCCTAATGCCATTTCCCATTCAATTGTATTTTTACGGGAATCCTAGAGACTGATATTAGGTGGAATTTACTACAGTAATGTAGCAGCCACATTTAAAATCTTAGTGATACTTCTTAGGAGCACTTTCAATCATGGCTTCTTGTTAGATAATCCAGCAATGGCTCTGACAAAAAAAAAATATAAGTATATTCAGCAAGTGCAAAAAATGATGATGATCAGCAAAGTGCTTCAACCCAGAGCAGCCAATCAAAATTCAGGTGTCTCTGACTTAGTGTTCCCTTCAAAAAATAAAATGGATTGGTTGCTGTGCATTTCTACACTTTGCACATCATCTTTGCTTTTTATCGTCCAGTATGCCTACATAGGAAGACATAGAAAGACATTCAGATATGTTTCATCTGAGGTCCATTCAGATCAATAGCAATACTTTAAATAATTATGACTTAAAGAAAAATTGTGCTAATTGTTTAACCATGTCAGACAGGTTTGCTTAACTTACATACTGCTATAATTTGCCACTCTGAACAAAATACTCATTGTTATTAATCATAAAATGCTTCAGGGTGATGTTTGAAGATTGTTGAAAATGTGTGTTTTTTTCCACGACTTTCCTTTCATTGGGTTTCTGACACTTCCACTTCTTCAACACGTTATTGACCTGTCAGTGCCAGCTGAAGGGGCTTTATAATCACGTTTTATAACATGGGTGTGGATTGACACAATATTTCAGTAGTGTTATGGAGGAGAGGTTGAGACTTGTGTTATACCAGCTTAAACAATCATTCCTTATTTCAAAGAATGCGAACAAGGTACAAAAAGTGGTATGGATATTTAAGGAATGCAAGTATATTGCCAAAAGGCTTTCCTCTGAAAACTATTATTGTCATTGCGTTCTTTGGTACAATGAGCCACAATAGTATCTGTCGTTATTGCCATTATCATTACGGTTGCAATACTGTTAAACAACCCATGCATGCAGTTCACAGAAACCAATTGGACATTTATTTCACTTTATAATGCATATGAAGAAAATGATAGAATGCCATTGGCTTCCATCATTACATCAGCATTTCCACATATTGAAATGTGCATGTTTTCATAAATGTCTCCTGAATTTCCAAACTGTAGGTATGACAGCAGAACATCCATATGCAACAAAATATGTTCTAGTTACTTTTATTCTGTTTTGGAAAAGATTTATATTGTAATAAAATCTTCCTTAATAGCAACTGGTTGCTTCCAGTTTAGGTAAAAATTTAGTTTTATTCCAGAGAGACATTTTATAAAAGCATTCAGGTATTTTAACTGGGATTCTTTGACTCTGTACATCTGCACTGGCACAGGAAACGTGTCACATTTCTGATCTTTAGAGAGATGATGCCTGTGCTCATCTTTGTAACAGCGATAATTGTGACATGACACTTTATCATAAACCTCTTTTAGGTTTCTTTTATTCACATTGTTCATGTAACCAAACACACCAATGTGTTACCACCTCCTTTAGCTGGATTGTCTTGCACTGTAATGCTAATCAAGTGAACCAGCTTCACAAAAAAAACATATAGAGGCAGTAGGTGCCCTGATACTAACAATTTGGTGAAGAGTAATGATTGGTGCAAGAATATTATCAGTAGTGTAGAGAACAGGGCCGGACTGGCTCTAACACTGCTATAAAACATTGGCGGGTGGCAGCAAGGATTACATATGAACGGATTCTGGTCGGAGACGAGAAGCGTGCTTCCTAGCAAAGTCACATAGATGTGTCAAGTGAGGCAGCGGGCATAACATGTTCACAGCCTTTTCACATAGTTTCCAGGAAAAGTCCCAAAAAACTTTGTTCTTCTGAGGTGCCTGAAAAGAGAGGTGAGTAAGTCAGAGAACATTTATTCATATCACCATACGACGAGCTGCCAGGGATCTTATATGGGATCTTTAGATGATAATTTCCTTTTTTTAAATTTTGCCTTTAGAGAGGGTAAGGGAGATATCCAAAATTATGAATGAGCAGCCACTAAGTTTGAGGCTTCAGAACAAAAATAAACTCCCAGTGTTGCCAAGGGTGATAGAATGTTTTCATTCATAAGTATAGAGTGAATCAGGAAAATACCACATTATGGTCACTACATGAAACTTACGGTCATAGTAACTAATTATTTATTTCCTATGATAGCTCTAGGATTTTTTATAAATATACCACTAAGTATTTTATCTGCATAACTGACTTAAAATAGACTTAGATTTACGAGTTTACTAACTGATATTTTATTTACTATATTTTTCATTATTTGTTTAAAATCCTTACTTTAAGGGTAGACATGTATCATGGGTGCTTATAGGATACAATGTTTGCAGAACATACAGGGATTTCTTTTAGGAAAGGCAAGCACTAGATCTTCACTAGTTGACTGCTAGTACAAGTAGACAATCTAGGGAGCTCCTGTCTCTGGAAGGGGGCACCTATCTCCAAATAGTACTGTTTTCTGAAGCCAGCCAATGGCAACATGCAGTCTTAGATAGAAGCCTTTATAAGCAAAGGTAACAATTAAATTGACAGATTCCCTTTAGGGCAAATTGAAGTTGCTTCTGATTAATAATTAGCAAAAAAAAAAAGGCAATGCTTACCCACAAACCATCCATCATCACACTTTTCCATAACATCTATCACATCGCCTTCTCTGAGTTCGAGCTCATCTTCATTACGTGGGGTATAGTTATACAGAGACTGATATCTATGAAAAAAAAACATAAAATAGATCACAACCATATGGATAACCATATGGATATACAGTACATAGTTTATGCATTATTTATTTTTCCATGCTTTGAGCACACCTTATGTTCTCTATAAATTCTCTTGGCCGCTGGCAATCACAAGGTCTAGGATCACCACTGTGATTCAGGTCAGGGCCTCTCAGCTATACTGATCCACAGTTCTAATAACTGAGAAATAAATGACAGCCTGTCTATACAGTAGTATGCAGTAGGCTTAAGGTGGCCATAGATGGATCGAGATTCAGCCGGTTCAGTAGGAACCAGCTGAATTTCGATCCATGTGTTGCCACGGATTGGCAGAATTTAATTGCATATTTTTACTATATCAGATAAACGCCACTTGATCAGTGACTGCAGCACTGATCAGTGTATTCTGACAGTGGAGAACAAAGGGGCGTGGATGGGAGAATCATTTTTTTTCATTCAGCGCGCTTGCTGCATGAAATAAACTGAACCATGTATGGTCAGCTTAATGTATTATATGCAGAGAGATAATGATCAGTGGGAGAAGGGTTCCACAGAATGGAATGACAAGCAGGAGGCTATTGTTTTGCTAAGAAACCCAGCATTGCATAACTATCCCATGGGTATTGCTTTAAGAACATTTTGAGAAGGCAGTTCTATCATTAGGTGGTTTCTATAACATAAGGCCCACAAGTGAGGTCAGAACACTTACAGTGACTGAAGGATGCTGGAGGCTTTGCTATGCCCAATCCTTGGCTTTATTATTTAGCTGTGCAGTTGCAGCATCTGTGTAAAGGGATGACTTCTACCTCTTACCAGGAGGAGACCCACCCTGATTCCTCTATACATACACTATATTGCCAAAAGTATTGGGACACCCCTCCAAACCATTGGATTCAGGTGTTCCAATCACCTCCTTGGTCACAGGTGTATAAAATCAAGCACCTAGGCATGCAGGCTGCTTCTACAAATATTTGCGAAAGAATGGGTCGCTCTCAGTGAGTTCAAGTGTGGTACTGTAATAGGTTGCCACCTGTGCAATAAGTCCATCTGTGAAATTTCCTTGCTACTAAATATTCCACGGTCAACTGTTAGTAGTGGTGTCATAACAAAGTGGAAGCAACTGGGAAAAACAGCAACTCAGCCACAAAGTGGCAGGCCACGTAAAAATGACAAAGCGGGATCAGCACATGCTAAAGCGCACAGTGCGTAGAAGTCGCCAACTGTCTGCAGAGTCAATAGCTAAAGACCTTCAAACTTCATGTGGCCTTCAGATTAGCACAACAGTGCGTAGAAGGTTCATGGAATGGGTTTCCATGGTTGAGCAGCTGCATCCAAGTGCAATGCAAAGCGTTGGATGCAGTGGTGTAAATCACACTGCCATTGGACTCTACAGCAGTGGAGACGTATTCTCTGGAGTGATGAATCCCACTTCTCCATCTGGAAATCCAATGGACATGTCTGGGTTTGGCGGTTGCCAGGAGAAAGGTACTTGCCTAACTGCATTGTGCCAAGTGTATAGTTTGGTGGAGGGGGGGGTTATGGTGTGGGGTTTATATTTCAGGGGTTGGGCTTTGCCCCTTAGTTCCAGTGAAGGGAACTCTTAAGGCATCAGCATACCAAGGCATTTTGGCCAATTTCATGCTCCCAACTTTGTGGGAACAGTCTGGGGATGGCTCCTTCTTGTTCCAACATGACTGCGCATCAGTGCAAAAAGTAAGGTTCACAAAGACATGGCTGAGCGAGTTTGGGGTGGAGGAACTTGACTGGCCTGCACAGAGACCTGACCTCAACCTAATAAAACAACTTTGGGATGTATTAGAGCGGAGACTGCAAGCCAGGCCTTCTCATCCAACATCAGTGCCTGACCTCACAAATGTGCTTCTGGAAGAATGGTCAAACATTCCCATAGACACTCCTAAACCTTGTGAACAGCTTTCCCATAAGAGTTGAAGCTGTTATAGCTGCAAAGAGTGGACCAACTACGAACCCTACGAACTAAGACTGGGATGCTATTATAGTGCATGTGCGTGTAAAGGCAGGTGTCCCAATACTTTTTGCAATATAGTGTATTTGTCAGATCAAAGCCAAATCAAACAGACTTTTGCCCACTTATGCCATTCTGTAAAAAAAATTTTTTAATGACTAAGCAGCTTCAAAGGGTTACCGGTTTCACACAATATAGCCCTACTTCATATAACAATAATTATACAGAGTTGGCCAAGATGCAACAAGCCCCAAGGTGGTGCAAATTTGGTGTCTCCCACCTGAGACACATTTTTAATAATGGTACCCTCTGCACTTTCTTCCTTCCGAGAAATTGCGTGATAAGTTTTTTTTTTTTGATGGGAGAAAGGCAGTGGGCCATGGGCCTTGACCCTTTTATAGAAGACCAGTGAGAGGAATCTCTTCAAGAGGTGCCACAATGCTCTCCTAATTAGGCCTATGCAACGATGTATAGTTCTTAGAGTTAACTATACCCCAGCTAGGCTGTGCAAGATAAGACTATTAGCCAACCCTACATGCAGTAAATGCTGTCTGGACCACGGGGACCTAATCCATTCACTTTGGTAATGCCCCAAATTGCACATTTACTGGACCGGGTGGTGAACACACTAAATGCCATCTTCCAAATTTCTATTCCACTCAACCCTAAACCATACCTCTTGCGCATATTAGATGACCTCCAATTGTCAGCTGTTAATAGAGAGGCAGTGTCTAGAGCTCTTTTTCAAACCCAGAGAGTTATTTTTACACATTGGAAATCTCCTGATCTCCCTTCCCTTAAAGAATGGATACAGTGTATGGGAGAAACTCTAAGGTTGGAGAAGTACACACACCAACATAATGGATGCTCCCATAAATATGATAATCTCTGGGGCACATGGTTGGCCCCAACCCTGAGCACACTTGACCTCATCATGGATAGACTCCTGGTAGTTTATTGTATACCTATTTGGTTACTTGCCTTTAGTGGCTAGATTACTACGGCAGTTATTTATTCTGCAAAATGTCTTTAACTCATTATACCGCTTGGAAGGTTTATAATCAGCTTGTTAGTCTTGCTCTGATATCCCAGTTTATATCACTGACTGACTATGGCTCTGTACACAGACCAAATTATTGGTCTCTGTTATGGTTGGAAATGTGTTCTGGAATTTCTGTATCTTAATTCCCTACTCTCAATAAAACTTTTCTTGATTTAAAAGAGTTACCAATTTTGTTGCTGCCTGGAGATGCTAGTTAGCTATAACTTTTATATTTTATTGATAATTTCAAGTAAAATAAAACACAGTCCTACTCAATGCTATGACCTTTTTCTGTGAGCTTCTAAAGTCAGAGCCTTGGGGAAACACAGTTGCTGCTGCTTCAGCTCTACAGCAGGATATCGTTTTTCTAGATCCAATTTTCTAGATCTAGATCGTTTTTCTAGATCCAATGCTTTAGTAGACAAAGACTCCTCAACTGCAGACAGAAATTTCACCCCTTCCTGCCCAGAACCAATGAAGTGTTCATATCACCCCCCCCCCCCCGTGCTCTCTTTTGATATTATCATGCATACTCTGAACATTATTATAGAGACCAGTAGCCATCCCAAGCATTAACCTGGATACAGAGTTGGCCTTTGTTCTACATGGTCTAGTACATGTGGTTCAGTTTCGGATTTACCTGCGATTATTGCTAGTGGCTATTATAGCCGCTAGCAGTAATCACTTGTGTTCTCTGCGTAGAGATGGCTCCCCCTTCCAGCAGAATACAATTGCTCAGTGGGAGGAATTTAGCCATCAACACTGACTGTGTTGATGGGGCAGTTGAGCAATTGGTTGCAGGATGGTCAGCTTAACATTCTTCTACATAACCCAGCCTTATCTGTTGCACAGGTTGCATCGCAACGTGCTGAGAGTACTGGAAAGGACAACTGATATTCATTAAGAAAAGTGCAGCACATATGCTAGCCATAAGCTCTGAGAAGGTACGGAAGCAATCCTAATTTAACAAATTCTACAGGTAGTAGAAATAATATTTACACTTACAGCTCTCCCAGAGTCTGGATGTTCTCATGACTGAACACTGCACGCTGTGGGAGACATAAATTACTTGTTTAGTATCATTTAAAGTGTGAATGAAAATTGTAAACAACAAAAACATAGGTTAGTCATTGAACAAGGGTAATTGCACCATACTGTTACAAGTATGCAAGCAGAAGGTGAGAACAATAGTTTCTGTGCTAGGCAACAGGAGTCGGATCAAATGTTTGTGCCATGGCTACTACTGACCTCTTTTGCTTCATCTAACAAATGTCACCCCCAAGAACAATGCCTGTGGGTCGCCAAGTTCTTCTGTGTTATGGAAATCCCACATACCATGGTGGGGTAGGTGACAAATAAAGACTACATCATCGATATCATTGCTTGCTAGAGACATTCATGGTGTCAGTCACTTTACAATTCTTAGACTCTGTTCACACTAGTGCGATTTCAGATGTGACTTCAGTTGCATAGAATTGCAGCACAGAGCGATCTTGGAAAAGGTTCCTGTACTGCTTTTGTGGGATTCCAGCGTGATTTTGGCCCCATAAAATATAAAAACCGCATCCATTTGCACTACATAATAGTCTTAATGGCATCTACCATAAATATAACATTTTAATACAGAAAATAATAGTAACTATTCTATTCTAATTATCATGTGCTGGTAGGTAAAGGCTGCAAATATTACTAATAAAAGCTGGCCATATATGGCTCATATTTTGGCCTATTCTTGCTGAATCAGGTGAATTTAACAATAGTCAATTGGAAATTTGAAGGAGTTGGGTGGTAAATTGTCAGCTGAACAGCAACTGCATGCAGTCAGAAGCAGTCACTATTCATGTATTCAGGCAGCCATGAGTGCTGTAGCTTTCTGAATACATTAGGTAGCAGGATATTTTCTTATGTCTACGCTTTTTAACTTGAATGGGGGAATAAACTAATTCCTCTAATGATCTAAATTTAAATGTGTATGTCTAGCTTAAGGTGCAAGGAGCTAGGATTTTATTATTTTGCAATCTCAAACAAGTGCACAATAAACAATGCTTTGCAATTTGCAATCAAAAATGTTTGCTGTAATTTTGCTTTGGAAATCATTGTTTCACCAAAAATCTTCACAGTATCAATAAATAACAAACATGAAAACACATAATAGATCTGTTTGCATTTTTTATAGCAAATAAAAGCAAATATAGAAAGCTTTCACAAATACAATACAGAGCATTATTACTGCACACATATCAGGGTAGAACACGTAGAAGCACTTTATATTTTGAAGCAGGAACAAGACATAACGCTACACAACGTAGTCTCCATTGTGACAAATAGAACATGTAAGCAAACACAAGCCAAGCACCATGCTTTATAATTTACACGGTTCAATCTTACAGATACACATATGCTGCGTGTACCATGCCGATCAGCTAATTAATGTACGCACTGAGCATTTAATTCGACGGACTCTTACCACATTTTTGTTAAACCACAGAATAGCTAGCAGAACAACTTGTATATGAAACGAGAGGGAATTCTGGTTAATGGGCCAAATCAGAACGAAAAGAATTCCTGTGGCTTCCCATATACTGTATGTGCTGTTCAACCTGCTTTACTTTGTACAGAATTCTACAAAAAATTAAACTACAGCAGCCCTTAGTTTATGCCATTTTCTTTCCTTCCACCACAGGTTGAAGGAAATAAAATTGCTTGATTACCCATAAACACAGTGTTGATCTGGGAATCCCTCCTCCAGCGCTGCTGTCTTCTGCTGGCGGGGAGCCTTCCCTGCCAGCAGAATACCATGATCACTGCTGGAAGCTATAGCCACTGGCAGTGATTGCATACACAAAATCCAACAGGCTGGTTGTACTGAAGTCGATCAGTGGATGAACATCAGTACAACCTGCCTGCCCATAGACGGATCGAATCTTGGCCAGAACTGGCCGGCCAGCTGAACCGTCTGAGATTAGATCCATCTATGGGCGGTTTAAGTTCATAACAGGATCAGACTGTATTGGTATGATTGTTGCGATGAGTGTATTAGAAGGAAGGAGATATTTCAATGTGGAGCAGGTTTCTATTAGGATACTTACAAAACATACTCAGTACAGTATATGTAGTCCCACTCTATGCAAGAACTACATAGGAACAGAGTAATTGTCTGATTCACACTAGAAAAAGTCTACACAGCCCAGCCATGTCTTAAAACCCAAAACAGCCAAAACTGTTTTTAGTTTTGTATAGAGTCGGGAAGGTGGGTGTTCCAAGCACATTTTCTACTGGAATGTCAGCATGCTATTGCTGTGTGTCCCCCTCATTAGGGAGATTTACCTTCAGCCAGAACTCCAGCCATATGAAAAATTAATAACCCATTAAAACAGATAAAAAGCAGCTTTTTAATGAAATATTCACTTTCATTCCAAAGTTCTGCACTGCAATACTTGTTTGCTGCCACAAGATGCTCTCAGTCTAATGGCCAGCATCATTTAACCCACTTT